AATGTCGAATGGTGACACTCGGTAAGTAATCCTACAATTTTTTGTTTATAGCGTAGTTTATACGGATTATTCCCAAAAAATATATACGTATTTTGGAAATGTTGAGTCGGATTAGTCTAGAATCGATTAATTTTATGGAAGAAAATCTTTCAAACAGCCGTAGTCCGTAAACTTGATACGTGTCGGGTTGTGATTGGAAGGATTCGTAAGAAAGCGGATTCCTAGAGAATGGAACGTATCTCTATCTTATAGGGGGGTCGACTGTACATTGTTTCACTTAGTTATAGTTTCCAACAACCTATTGATGATGATAATTAAGTGAGAATTTTACTGTATTTTCTTAATTATTATATGTATTGAGATGCTGGTATTATTAAAGGTAGGTATAAAGTCTGGATACACAGGCAAATAGATATAAGTTTTTAATAGGTTAGAATGTAGTAATATTGCTAATGAGAGACATTCTTCACAATGTTAGGCAACCAATTAATGTCCCAACTTGATGAGCTAGGTGAAGGTCACCCTAAATGGTTCCAATAGGATGGTACTCTTGTCTATTACAGTGCAGTGATAAGAAGCTGGCCAAATGAAAATTTCCCAAACTAGATTGGGAGATGTGGCATTGTGGAATTGGCCTTTTGCTCTCCTGATTTTAATTCTATTGATTACTTCTAAGTTTATTCAGTAAAATCACTAATATTTATCATCTAAAGCAATGCATCATGAATATTATAGAATTGATGGAGATACTGCATCATGTTCATATCAATTTCTCAAAACACATTGAAATATGTTTTTCTAATGATGGGAGCCATATTGAAAATGTCATTTATTGAAAAGATTTGCCTATGTTCCTTTATGCGTACTTTGTATTTACTATTTTTTTAAATATATGAATATATGAATGATTTATCAGAGTTATAGTGGTTTTAAATCTCTTGTAATCATTAAAGCACAATTATCATGATTTCCAGAAATGTAATGAAATAATTTTATGATTTCTTACTTCAAAAATTTTAAATATTTCAAAATTAATTTTCTTTAATAATGTAAGATATCAAAGAATAGCCGCAATTATCTTTTCCTAAATTCATTAAATAAATTTAGTTTCCAACAATGTTTTCTATATTCTGCTTGGAAAAAAATCAATAAATTGTTCTGGACAGTAAATGACAATTACAATGAGATTATATATTTAAATCTTTTTCAATTTTAAATTCAAAAATACTTTAAATCATTTGAATTTATTTTAAAGTGTAAACTATTTGTTTTTAACTTTATTTTTAGATGTCAAATTAGTAAACATCAACCCACTATTGACTTCGGCACATACTTTATTAATGTTACTTTACAAACGAGATTGTAGAAGAAGTTATACTTCACCTGATCAATGGCTTATCAAGTAAGATTATTAATATATAAAATTTTGATTAGAATTTATTAATTTAAAAAATTATTACAACAATAAAACATTTACAAAACTAAATTTAATACAGTAGCATATCACATTTAAATCTTTTGATGACATTAATAGAAAGCAAACTAATTATACAGGATATTTATTTTAACATTTATCTAGAGGCAAAAGACATCTTTCCAGCATTGCATGAGAATAAGCATACGGTGCATTAATTCCATTATGATGTTTACAGTGAAATAAATTAATTTATTCAAAAAAGGAACATGTGTAAATCACGCAGTAGTTCTGAGGCAATACATAAAGTTTTAAAATATTAGAACAAGATGCAAATTAAAAAATTCAATCTCAGACATCGTCATCACATGATTTGTAATGTCTTTATAAAAGAGCCATTGTACAGTCTGCTAATTGGTAGAGTACTATGACAATGCCTTATACTCATGAACATTACTGTTAAATGATTATAATCTATGGGGAAATGAGACAAAATGAATGAGAAGCACTTTGAAGTCCTTTCCAGTTTCACTAAGACCTATATGTATGATGATTTTAATGTAATATGCTGTTTAATGCAAAACTATACCACAGTCAAAATAAGTGCTGCTTGGCTGGTTGAAGAAAAAATTTACCTACATTATACATTATTCATGTGGACAGATGGAGAGTATAAAGGAAATCTNTATTAATTAATTTGATTTTGATTCAACTGCAGTGTGTATTGAAAAACAGAAATAGTATCTTCTCTGTATGTGCATTGATATCTAATTTAAATAGCAACATTATCAATAATTTGTGTTATGAGGTTTGATGACGTGAGGCCATCTTGGCACCACTAACTTCTGAATTGGTAGTTCTGTTATTGAATGGTCAAGACTGTCAACTTTCTTTAACATAAGAAGTATAAGGAGTTCTGTGGCCAGCTCTTGCCAAGTAGTTTTTTTGGCAACCAAGTTATCATATGGCAACTGGGGCAAATATGAGTTCAAAATTTTGTTTGAATGCCTTACTTTTCAAAAATTCGAACTGAATTGTTTGAAAAGTAAGGCATTCGAAATCTGAGGTTTGACTGTACTCACTTTTGGCTTGAATTTTGAATAAAATAAATATACACTTAATCAATCAGTCAAAACGATTTATATATATATATATCATAAATGTAAAATTCCTAAATATTTAATGAAACTGAAATCTTAACAACTTAACAAAATATTTATTTTTATTTTTGTGTGTTGATTTTTTGTAATAACTTTTTTATAAAAAGTAGCCAAATCAATAAAAGTTTAGTTCCAAAAAGGACTTTTAGATTAGTTCGTAAAAACTTTTTTAAAAGTACAGTCATGCTTGGAATAATGGATGTTTCTGAAATATCCTAAGTTCATCTTCACTACTACTAGTTTCTGCTTGATACATTCTGTTATAAAATGATAAGATTCCTATATATCTGTTAAATGTTTGATATAATTTTCACTGTATTTTTCCAGTTACAATTTTGTAACATGGTTGATGGCAAATAAACTTCCTTACATGGCGAAATTGATGTTAAATTAAACATTTTTGATTGAATCTATTCTGTTCCTTGTTAATTATAATTAGTTTAATAAAAAAGTTATTCATTATTGCAGTTTTTAATGAAAATAAGTTTCATAAAACTTATCAAAATTGTTTNTGAATGATTTATCAGAGTTATAGTGGTTTTAAATCTCTTGTAATCATTAAAGCACAATTATCATGATTTCCAGAAATGTAATGAAATAATTTTATGATTTCTTACTTCAAAAATTTTAAATATTTCAAAATTAATTTTCTTTAATAATGTAAGATATCAAAGAATAGCCGCAATTATCTTTTCCTAAATTCATTAAATAAATTTAGTTTCCAACAATGTTTTCTATATTCTGCTTGGAAAAAAATCAATAAATTGTTCTGGACAGTAAATGACAATTACAATGAGATTATATATTTAAATCTTTTTCAATTTTAAATTCAAAAATACTTTAAATCATTTGAATTTATTTTAAAGTGTAAACTATTTGTTTTTAACTTTATTTTTAGATGTCAAATTAGTAAACATCAACCCACTATTGACTTCGGCACATACTTTATTAATGTTACTTTACAAACGAGATTGTAGAAGAAGTTATACTTCACCTGATCAATGGCTTATCAAGTAAGATTATTAATATATAAAATTTTGATTAGAATTTATTAATTTAAAAAATTATTACAACAATAAAACATTTACAAAACTAAATTTAATACAGTAGCATATCACATTTAAATCTTTTGATGACATTAATAGAAAGCAAACTAATTATACAGGATATTTATTTTAACATTTATCTAGAGGCAAAAGACATCTTTCCAGCATTGCATGAGAATAAGCATACGGTGCATTAATTCCACTATGATGTTTACAGTGAAATAAATTAATTTATTCAAAAAAGGAACATGTGTAAATCACGCAGTAGTTCTGAGGCAATACATAAAGTTTTAAAATATTAGAACAAGATGCAAATTAAAAAATTCAATCTCAGACATCGTCATCACATGATTTGTAATGTCTTTATAAAAGAGCCATTGTACAGTCTGCTAATTGGTAGAGTACTATGACAATGCCTTATACTCATGAACATTACTGTTAAATGATTATAATCTATGGGGAAATGAGACAAAATGAATGAGAAGCACTTTGAAGTCCTTTCCAGTTTCACTAAGACCTATATGTATGATGATTTTAATGTAATATGCTGTTTAATGCAAAACTATACCACAGTCAAAATAAGTGCTGCTTGGCTGGTTGAAGAAAAAATTTACCTACATTATACATTATTCATGTGGACAGATGGAGAGTATAAAGGAAATCTATCTTGCATTCTTGAGCCTGCAATATTTCTGTCTGTCTGTCTCAAACTATCAAGGGCACAAATCCAGGTAACCAGCTGTTGAAACTTTCAGCACTCAACTTATTAACAGAAAGCTTTGTTTTTGAGGGTGAGCCTTTCATTTATGTCCATTTCTTTCATTAGTTTATTTATTAGTTGAAAGACAATTAATGCAGACATGACTTTAATGTTTTTAGGGCTATGAAAAATTATATAATTTACAACATCCTCTTCTTATAATAGACAGCTCATTACTGCAATTCTTCAAGATCATTAGTCATGTTGAAAAACTCTCAATTTTAATACTATTGCTGTAAATTCTGTTTGATTTTCCATTGAATTATGACCAAATGTGCATATGCTGATGTGATTCTGTCCACTTCATCTGCTTAGTTTGTCCTGTCCATCTGCCCAAGTGTACATTTACCCTCAGGGATTACAGTCCCAGTGTTTCTGTTTTCACAATGTTGGAGTTTTGGTGTATTTCCACACATATCCACATACAAGCATATATGAAGCAATGAGATAATGTGGACTGCAACAGTCACAAATACTGTACATAAAATTTTACATTATTATGACATTCAACTGCATTCTGCAACTGGTATAACATACATGAGATGATGGACAGAGATTTGACTAGTGCAATATAATAATAAATTTATGTTTAAACTATAACTACTTGAGCACATTTTATGGACTGATGCACTTTTTCCTGGAACAGTGTGTAAATGCCATATTGTGCATCACTGGGTAAGTATGCTCCATGATTTACAGCACATGAAATATACAACACTAGATATGCTTTACATTAAACATCTGTTATGACATTGGAATGAGCCATTTTCAGTCCCATATTCATTAACAGAACCCTGACTAATGACTGCTTATCCTACACTGATGGTGGATGAATGGTTTGATGACTTGCTGTTGGATCAACTAATGAAGGTTTGATATCTGCAGGATGGCATGCCAGTTCATTTCCAGGCAAATGTGTATCAGTGACTTATAGAACAGTTTGACAATTGATATCTAGAACAGCACAATCCTGTTTCATGGCCATTATGCTCCCCAAACTTGATCTGATAGATTTTTTTCTTGTGGAATCAACTGAAAGCTTCACTGTATGATATGTACCCAGCAGTGCCATATGATTTTGGCAAGCTATAGAGGTGAATACAAGAGGCTTTTAGGATGGTGATACCAGATATGCTGTGTTTCACTCATAACGACATTCTCAAACATCTACGTGGGGGGACCCAAAAATAACCGGAATTTTTGTATAAAAACTTTATTTATTAACTTTTTTACAAAATTTCTTCAGTCACCTTTAAAATACTCTCCATTAGATGCGATGCACTTGTCAAGTCTTTTTCCCCACTGTTTGAAGCATCTCTGGAACTCTTCAACCTTGAAATCATCCAGTGCCCTTAGGGAAGCTGATTTTACTACCTCCACATCATCAAAACGCTTCCCTTTTAGATTTTTCTTCATTCTCGGAAACAGAAAAAAGTCGCATAGGGCTAGGTCTGGTGAATATGGAGGGTGGGGAATGACAGGCCATCCTCGAGAGGCCAAATAGTGAGTCACTTGTAACCGTGTGTGCAGGGGCATTGTCATGATGAAGGAACCAGTCACCTGATTGCCAAAGTTTCAGGCGTTTCCTTCGCACATCCTCTCGCAGACTTTTTTTTGGCAGTTTTTTTCAACATTTTCATCGTTTCGAGATGTTGAAGGACACCCAGAACTTCGCAGGTGGAATAAAATAATAGTAAGAGAAACACAACACTATGCTCAAACGTAAACCTACAAACTGACACCGTTTGCACAGCTATTTTGTGAAGGTCTCTACTAACCCCATGTAATGGGAGAACTCTCTACTATGTCTACAAACGGCAGTGCGCTCTCAGTTCAGTTTTTTTTTTTTTTTTTGGGTTCCCCCTCGTATATCTTTGTATTACCACTGAAGGCAATCATTTTGAATATGTACTATAACAAAATAAAGTTACCTGTTTTTATATTAATTTATGCAATGTTGGTTTTTATCTTTTGCAATTAAAGATTCTTTGAATACTATGCTAAATCTTCTTAAAATGATTCCCTTCTATTACACTTGAGAGAGATGGGAAAATTTATTTGTTTATTTGTTTTGGAACTGTTGTGTGATTTACATGTTGATTTTTTGAATGAATTAATTTATTTTGCTGTAAACATCACAGTGGAATTAATGCACCTTAATCATATACTCATGTAATGCTGGGAAATTTGTTGTGTGCCTGGATGAATGTTAAAGTAAACATCTTATATAACTATTACTTAGTGATTATTGTAGGAGTTATTGAATAACAAATCAAAATAAATATTCTAATCAAAAACTGTTCATTAATAATTAATTTTCTATATCTCTATATCATTATTATAGTATAAATATAATAAACATGGGATTTATGAGTCATTTTGTTTTTTTTTTTACAAAATATTTAAAAAGATGTATTTTATTATTAACTATTTTGAGAAAGAACATTAATATCTGTTAAATGATAGTAATTTAATATGAAATATTTCTTTTTATTATAATATTTTATGAAACTATTTTTTAAGTATTAATAAAAAATTATCCTGTTTTTATTAAAAAAATTGTCAATTTTTACTTTGTTTTGATTTTATATCTTTATTTTTAAATACAACTTGAATGATTTTTCATATAGCGAATATTGTGATGTACTAAAGCTAGGTTTTTCTAGCCTTTATTATAATTTTGTTTAAAGTATAAAAGATTTTGTAATACAGTGAGTGATCAGTTAACGAACACATCGGATAACAAACACTTTCACGAAAGATTTTTATGATCGGCCAACAAATACATGTTCAGATAATGAACACTTCACTGAACAAATATAAAAAGAAGCAACAAAAATAACAAATACCAATTGATTTTCCCTTGTCTTCAGGCAAGAATTCGAAACTTTTTGGAGCGCTGGAAATGTCGACATCAACGCTCAACTGTATAATATACTGATCAGATAGTATTCCTCCGAACTTTGAAACTCTTCCTTGTAATTCCAGCCTTTTATTTTTCTGACAGAAAATTTTTTTATAGTATTCGCAAGACTGTTGGGTGGGCACTCGTTAAGTTTTGCATTGAGTTTTATTTTTGAAAGATAAAATAGCAAAGGCAGAAGATGTCTGATATTGCTGGGCAGTATGGCCTGAACAAATCTACAGTAGGATGCAGTTCAATCTTATCTAAGAAAGATACAGTATAATCAAGAAAACTCAAGCAGCTAAAAGAGTAACAAAAATCACTTCTGAGAAATAAAGAACATTGAAGAGCTCATAATGGAACCTGAAATGGATCTGACGACAGAAGAACGCCAAGAACTATTGAATGAAGAACACCAAGAAACTCTGTGAGATATGTTTTCTTCTAAAAAAGAGGATTAATGCCGGTATCTGCTATTAATTAAAGATCTTTTGAAGAAGTGGGGATGTCAGATCAACGGTCTTAGAATGGCATACAAACTAGGATGAGGTTAATAAGCTTGGGGATCTCTACAATTACAATTTTATTAATTCTGAAAATCTTGAAGAAGAGAGAAGAACAATCAACATTAGACAGATTATTTAACCCCCACAAACAAACACAAAAAAAAACATGACTAATAAGAATGCAACTCTGGGTATATATGTATTTTTATTACTACATATAAATAAACGTAGTAAGAAAGTATATATTTTTTATTTTTTGGGATCTCCAGAATGAATTAATCAAATTCCCATACAAACCTATGGTAAATTGATAATTGGTTAATGAACAGTTCAGATGGCGAACAAAGTCTTGGAACGGATCATGTTAGTTAACTGATCATCCACTGTATATTCTTTCTTTTTTATATTGTGCTTTGTTTTTTTTATTCCATAACTTTCAGTAACTGTCAGATAAAGTTAAACCAATGTTGTATGAAATATTTTGTAGTTAATAAAAGGTTAATGGAAAAGTGTTAAATAAATAATTACATTTAGATAATATTTTTATACAAAAATTCAAAAGTATTTTTTACGTATTTATAATAAATTTGTAAATATTTTAATGTAGAGATATAAAAGTTAGCTCATTCATGAATGATCTTGAAAAAGGAAAGAAAACAGCACAGATCTTAATGCAGAAAGTTCCACATATTGTTCCTCACAAAGAAGTAAGCTAATTTTTATAATTTTGAATTATTTGAAACTTATAAACTACAAAATGTATAAAAGATTAATTCCATGATTTATTACACAAATACAGAAAATCATATTTATATATTTTAGAAATAACACAAGTAAATGTGTTATTTTTAATATAATAAATATTATGTAGTAAAAAATATTTATAATATATATAAACTAGCATCCCCATCGCGGCCTCGCCCGCTCTTATATACAGCGTGGTTATAATTAAAGTTGCTCTACTCATACCTGTCTAGAGCCCGTTCTCGTAGATGTATTTTGATGAAACTTAGTATATATGTTATATATACCAAGAGGAAAAAAGGGACTATGGGGAAAAGGAAAATGCAAAAAAATATTTAGTTGGAATTTTTACCATTAGGTTAAAAAATAGTGCATGAAGAACAAGAAACACAAAATGGAAACATGCAAAAGGTTTTTATTCACAACATTTGTTCAATGTGCAATCCATTTGCATGTTTCCATTTTGAGTTTCTTGTTCTTAATGTGCCATTTTTTCACCTAGTGGTAAAAATTCCAACTAAATATTTTTTTGCATTTTCCTTTTTCCCATGGTCCATATAACATATATACCAAGTTTCATCAAAATACATCCACGA